AAAAAAAAAAAAAAAAAATTATATATATATTTGCTGTCACATATGCTGAACACTCCAATTAGCACTACTCTGGGAAGTAGGTATTTTTATTGTTCCCTTTTTGCAAATGGCAAAACAGATTTAAAGAGGTTACGTGGCCAGGGGTGGTAGTTCATTCCTGTAATTCCAGCTACTCAGTAGGCCAAGGCAAGAGGATTATGAATGCTAGGCTAATCTGGCCAATTTAACAAGACCGTGTCTCAAAACAAAAAAGTAAAAGAGGATTGAAGATCTGAGGAATTCAGTGTAAAAGCATAAATTTAATCCCCAGGACCACATATATACCCCAGGGTAAGTGGGGATGTAGCTTAGTAGTAGTGCACACACAAGGTTCTTGGTTCAATTCCTAGCATCCCCACCCATACAGTAAGTGTGATAGACAGATTGTCTGGTTCCAAAGCCTCTGCACCTTCCTATCCAGGTATTACCTAATTGTGGTGTAATCTATCTGGAGAAAGAAGTGGAAATAGGTAATATCAGTCGAGAGCAGTGGTGGTGAACCTATGGCTGTTGTGCTGCAGTGAGTACACAGGGCCTTCTCTGTCAGCATGTAAGCCAAGTTGCCCTAGCATTGCCTCGGTAGCATGCGTTCAGGTTTAATTGCAGTGTTGGCACTTTGTGATAAATAAGGGGTTGCATTTTGGGCACTCAGTCTTTAAAAGGTTTGAAGTGTAAGAGAGGAAGGCCCAGAGAGCCAAGAGTTGCCCTCAGAATCTATTATATGGGACACAAAGGAACTATAGCTGGCAGACACTAATGTGCACTCAAGGGAAGGTTCTTGGATATAGATTAGAAATGATTCCGCAGGCTTCACTGTGGCTCAGCTAAAGCTTTCTCTCTGTGCTCTTGTTCCATACCTTGTAGCAAGCCTTTTCATTGATCATGTGGTTTCAGAAGACAGGGCCTTTGGCAACAGATATGACCACTTTAGTGACTTGGAAAAGCTTGCCATCTCAGACTCTCACTCTGCCCAGTGCTCATTCTCAAACAGGTTGCTGTGGTAGTTTCACATGTGCTGGGATTGACTGAGTTGATCTCTCTGGGTCTGTTCAGTTCTGAAGCAGTGACAAGGTCCAAGTTTCTTAGCCTGCAAAGATAATGCCCACACTGTGGTAGTGGCAGCAAGATGGAGTTTTCTCAGATTGCTAATAATTTGTCAAGGGAATGACACCTTGTTAGGCACTCTGCACAACCAGCTAGCCCTTGTTCCTGTTAGGGCCCTGAACTTTCATGCTTATGTGCATATAGGCAAGACAGATTAAGATTAGAATACCAGTTGGAGGACTAATGAGGGCAGGTGTCACATTATCCTCAATCTTGGCTTTTCTTTCATTGAATTTGCTATTTCTTGGTGATTGCTGATGGAAAAGGGAAGCCTGCCTTCAGAAAGTTTTTAGATTGTTGAAGTTGTACTATATTAAATCTAGTTTTATTCTTATATATTATTCATTTTCTTTGCCTAAGAGGTTTTTGGGGTTTTTTTGTTAGTTTGTTTTGTTTTTTTGATGCCTACAAGTATTGATACTGAATTTTTTAGGAGAAAATTTAACATTGCCATGATTTGTTGAAAAATACAACTCTGCCTAAGTAACTTGAACAAAAACCTTAAGCCATGACTTTGCATAGCATGTCAGTAATGCCTCCTCATTGCATCAGCAACATCAGATCATTTTGGCTTCTACATTTCCTAGCATCATGTACATAACTGGCTCCAACTAAGCTGGGTGTGGTAGAGCACACCTGTTATTCCAGTGCTTGAGACTGAGGCAGGAGGATTCCAAGTTCGAACCAACCTAGGTAACTTAGTGAATTAGCGAGACCCTCTTCTCAAAATACTAATTAGAAAGGGGCTGGTTTTGCCTCATATCTTGTTTTATCAGTTTGCTGTGGGAACACTAGGAAATGAAGATTAAAAGGATAGGGTACTAGTAAATTTCTAAAAATATTTTAAAATAAAAAGAAATAAAACCCAACTTTAAAAACATAAGATTAAGGGGCCAGGGAGAGGACTCAGTAAAATAAGCGCTTCCCTGGCAAGTGCAAGGGCCTGAGTTCAATCCTCGCTTCTGAAAAAAAAAAAAAAAAAAGATTAAAAGATGGAGGCAAAAATAACTCAGTGGATTAAAGCACCTACAAGCAAGTTCAGGGGCCAGGGATTCAATCCCCAGGCCTGCTGTGCTGGCCCCGCCCCCAGGGCAATTGAGACTGGGCGTGGTGGTACACACCTATAATCCCAGCTCTTAGGAGGTTGTAAACAGGTAGATCACTAGAGTCTGATTTAGTAGTAGCAAGACCCTGGACACCCCGTAAACCCTTCCCTAAAATACAAAAAAAAAAAAAAAAAAAGGTGGAGGCAAGGAGATATAGTTGATATGCAGATTTGAATTAAAATGGAAATAAGAGAGGTGATGAGAGTTGCTTGGGAGTGTTGCAGCTCTGTCATAGCTCCATCAGGGCTGTGACGAAGTGGGTACTCTATCCCCATGGGAGACTCGCAACATTACTTAAAAATCAAAATTTTTTATGAAGTTGCAATACTTGCCATTTTCATTGGGATCCTTACTCAGATATTATCAGTGTTATGACCATTGCCTCTATTTTCAGGTCACAAAAGATGTCATTAAAGAATTTGCTGATGATGGGGTCAAGTACCTGGAACTGAGGAGCACACCCAGAAAAGAAAACGCTACCGGTAGAATCTAAGTACTTTTTAGTGGATTGCTGTTCCTTTCTTTGTGTGCTTGGATCTTGTATGTGTTTGTCAGTTGGGAATATGAAGCACTAACTTTATACAATTGTGTGGTTCTCTCCTTTCATGGAGACTCCTAGTTCGCAGAAAAATCCTATGGTATATATTTGATGATGTGCATTGGTAACAAGTGAGTTCTTCAGCAAAATGTAGAAAATCTGGTCAGATATTATCTATTTAATGGGCGAAAGGGCCTGTAAAATTTTCTTTTTTCTTTGTTTAGTTTTTGTCACTTTGAGAAAAGGACACTTGCTCCATATAGATAGTTGCATTGTCTGAAACAGAGGCTGACCTAAATCAAGAGCACTTGTGTGACATTGCTGGGGAGATGGTGAAGAATCATATTTTATTATAACTAAAGTGTAGGTTATTTGTCGCTCAGTCTTTGGGGACTGGTAGTTTATTAGGACAGGAACAAGCTGTACACTGTCTGGATGGACATGAGCAGATCTGCTTTCTATCTGGAATAATTTCATAGGCTTATCCTTCCATATGAGCCTTGTGAGAAGATACCATGAAGGATCACCAGGTCCCTACTGACCTGAAGAGACCTAGATCATATTGAACCCTACTGTGTGTAACCTACTAATCACTGATCACTGAGGGGAAGGCTAATATTTTGAAACTACTATAGTAACTGTTGAAATAAGACAATGAAAAGATTATTACCTTGCATTTTTGAACTGCAAAATCAGTTCCAAATTATGCTGGTGAGGATAGCAAAAGACAAGAAACCTGCCAATTAGTAAAGCCATATTTCTTTTCAAATAGATTCACAAGGGTATGCAACAGTCGGGGAGTAGTTAAGGAAAGGCTAATGGGATATTCTGCAACTATTAAAAATACTTGCAAAGACACTTTCATGGCATGTAGAAATAGTCCCTGCATCAGCTGAATTACTGAACAGGTCCATATATATCTAGTAGCCTTCTCATCTATTAAAAATGTATATATGTATACATAAAACCACCCATATGGTTCCCTATGGGTGAGAGATTGCAGGTTATTTTTGTTTCACTTTATAATTTTCTGTGTTTTACTAGAGGTTTTCCATCCCAAGTCAGCATATTATAGTCAGAGTTGAGGGCATGTTAGAGGAGGCAGTTCTGGAGATCACCCTTACAGAGCCTGCCAGAAGAGGGCTCACACTCTTGAACTTGGAAGAAGAGCTCTGATCCTCTGGGTGAGAAATGGCCTTGGCAGGGTTGACAGGAAAGGAACCCACAGCAAGATTGTTTTTTCCCAGGCCAATAAATAAACAAACATCTAGTAACAGAGAAAATCTGTCTTATTCTTTTAAAGGACAAGACTTAGCCAAGGATTTATGGTGGTTCATGTTTTGTTGGAATGAGCATATAAAATTTTTATAGCAGTTTGTGAAAAGAATTTCATATCTATTGAATTAAGAATAACTTTTAAATGTATTTGTGTTCTGTGATTTTTGTAAAGTTTCCTTTTTTCTATTGTATTAAAAGTACAGTTTCATTTACTAAAATGTATCCATCAGGGTCATGCTTTTATTCATCTTGAATCATGCCCTGTCACATAAAGTAAAAAAGTGTTTATTTAGGGCTTCATATATACTAATGTTGGAGGACAGAACGATAAAATAATTGATGGTCTCGTGACATGTTTCCTTTTTTTTTCACCAGGAATGACTAAAAAGACCTATGTGGAATCCATTCTTGAGGGTATAAAACAGTCCAGACAAGAAAATCTAGACATTGATGTTAGGTAAGAGGAGTTTACCTTAATAGTTACCATTTTAAAAACTCAAAGTTATGAGCACTTGCCTGGCAAGCGGAGGGTCCGGAGTTCAATCCCTGGTACTGCAAATAAATAAATAAAAACTCAAAGTTTTATTGTTTTGATCATAGGTACATTTCTTAAAAATTAGCCAGTAACTGATTTTTTTTTAAATCAGTAACTGATTTTTATTTACAGTAGAAAAGTGAAGAACTCTGTTGTTTAAGATGAGAGGTGTAGATTTATTCATCTGGTAGTAAAACCCTGAAGTTTTCAGGGGCTTTTAGAGTAGATTATGGCTTCTCATTGCTTGCTTTCTCTGTCTGTGTCTGTCTGTGGTTCCCCTCCCAACCCTGTCTCTGTCTCTCTTTTTTTTTTTTTTTTCCTGATATTAAGGTTTGAAACTAGGGCTTCACATATGCTTTGCAAGTACTCTTCTACTGAGCTACATTTCTATCCCTTTTTATCTTTTATTTTGAGACAGGGTCTTGCTAAGTTCCCCAGACTGGCATCAAACTTGGTAATCTTCCTGTCTTAGCCTCTTGAGTAGTGGGGACATTATGTCTGGTCACACATGTGTTTTTCTTTATAGCATTCGTTTACAATAAGATAAAGAATTGTCTTTTTTTTTTTTTTTTTTAACATGCTCACGCACTAGACTATAAGTTCAGAAAGGCCAGAGACCTTAGCTTTCATTCACCACTTTGTCTCCAATACATAGAATTTAGCTGGCACTTTGTTGGGCTCAGGAAGACCTTGAATAAAGCAATCAAGGAAGCTAGCTGTATAGTGTTATGCTGTGGGAATATCTAAAAATTAAGCCTAACTAGATTAATACCCCAATAAAATCCAAGCCAGAAACAACTGAATGCAGAAAAGAAGACATACAAATGGCCAATAAATATTTAGCCTTATTAGTCAGATGTTTTTTAAAGGAGATATTATAGTGTTGTTTCAGTAGTTTAAAAATTGGTGCAAGGGGCTGGAGAGATGGCTCAGTGGTCTAAAGCACCTACTTAGAACAAGCTTGGCAAGGCATCAGGGACTGCGGTTCAATCCCCCAGCACCACATGCC